AGGGAGTTCAGAAAAGGGCGAAAAAAAGAACCCAGAAATTCCGGCTGCAGACCGAGCAAGCTTACTCCTGACACTCACAAAAACAGTCTATTCCAGACAGCAGTGAGAACTCTCTATACTCATTAGCGGTCAAGGACCTAACAGCTTTAGTCCCTCTCTTCTTTGTTAGTTCCCCACCCCCACACACCCCCGCCAGCCCCTACCACCACATGCAGAGCGAACTTCGGCTCAGTATTAGCACCAACACTATGAATCAGATTGGATTTGGCTACGAAAAGGATATCCGAAAGTCTTGGCAGAGTAGAAATAAGTGCCTCGCAAGAGCAGCTTCGGCCTGGTCCTAGTCTCCCACTAATGGCCTTTCCCGGAGGGCCCCTCTCGCCTCAAAGCCCACCTTCCCATTCTAAGACTGGAAGCAGGGGCCAAAGGAACAACCATACGGTTGTACGGTTAAAAAATTTCAGCCTTGTATTTTCGGCAGCACCAACACAAGGTCAGATTCTTAATCAGTGTTTTAAAAATAGATCCTAAAACAAGCCTCCCCATCCCTACTTTAATCCCACCTCCGCCCCGATGGGAATGGGTGGGATGTGATTTTTCAATTTCTGGAATATTTGTAGGAAGTCTCTGGGTTCTATTCTCGGATGGATAAGGCGAAGGTAATTTTCAAAACTCCTTAAAGCTGCTTCCAAACCACGTCTACAAAGGCAAAGCAAAGTAAAAGGACGAAGTGACTCTTGGGGCCACTTCCGAATTTGCTGCTGAGGAAAAAGGAATCTCGGAAGTGACAATAACACGCGTTTGCCTCGAGCTTCAAGGTTTACAAAGTGCTTAAACGAGTTGGGTCGTCTACAGGGGCCACGTTCCCTGGAGAAATACTCCCTGCCCACGCTTAACCAGTGTAGACGAAGTTCAAGGCAGCGCCCTAAGCCCCGGGGGTCGAAGAGAGTGCAAGGGGGGAAGTTCCCCACAACACAAAGAAATTAACGATGTTTGGCTGTCTCGGATCCGCCGGCGGGGACGGAAGAAGCGAGGCCAGCTTCTTATCAGCAGATGTGGGAGTCAACTTGGGACTTGAAAGACGTTTGTTTTCCTCGGGGATCCCAGACAAGGCCCGGGGCTCTGTGAGAGGCGCAGGTGCGCAGCCTGACTAGGGAACAGCCGATTTATAAGGTCAGAGGTGGCGGGTTTCACCAGTCTGACCCTGCCACACCCCCGCCCACCTGCCTGGGTTGCAGACTCGGCCAGCTCAGGCTGCGAGAAAGAGCAACTCGGAAGCCCCCCACCCCCACCCTGAGAAGAGGGGTCGGCAAAGGGCCTTCTGGTAAAAGATTAAGCCCTCAGGAGCTGCGGAGAGCTGCGGCGGCGCCAGGGAGAGTCAACTGCAGGGTCATCCCCGGAGAAAGACTATCTGGGACTAGGGATTTAAGGCCAGGGCGAGTAAAGACTCGCCTCGCCCTCAGATTTGACCCAATCCCTAAAACTCACCCTAATCTGTTTCCCAATCCCAGTCTATGTCCCGCAGCGGGAATGATCCAGGAACTTTCACTCTGCCCAGGTCTCCTGGATCTTATTCCCTCGAGGGAATGAAAAGATTCTATCTAGGCAGATCCAGGCGCTAGGTAGACTTCAAAGCAGGCTATCTACACTTCCAAAAGCGAAGTGAAACGTTGGAGGGTTATGATAGGTAGCCCTCCGGACCTAATCATGCGGTCCCCAAATTGGATTGGGCCATCAAAGTAACCTGAGTAGTCTTCATGCTTTAACTTAGCCTTAGAAAGGTGTTGACCCCATAGTTTTGACTTCTACTGATATTCAAAAATTTCCCACGAATTAGTGGACACTAGGAATTCCAGAAACTTTTTTAAAAAATTTCTATTCTTAAGGCAATTGGGGTTAAGTGCCTTTCTCAAAGTCACACACCTAGTAAGTGTCTAAGGCCAGATTTGAACTCGGGTTCTCCTGGCTCCAGGGCTGGTGGTCTATCCACTGCACCACCTAGCTGCCCCCCTAAAGTTTTTTTTAAAGGAGATAAATGTACTACAAGTACCTGAAGGTTAACTTCGGCAGATACAGAGATAATTTATGGGGAGGGGGTGCCCATTTTGAGTTCACGTCAGTTACTTCTTTTGCGAGGTGGGGCCTGTGGACCTAGACTCTGACTCTTAGGTCCTTCTCCTTGCTATCTTCAATTTGATTCGATTTCCAACCCTTTCAGAAGTCTCTCTGTCTTTGTCTCCCTCTGTCTCTGTTTCTCTCAGTTTCTGTCTCTCTCTTTCCTCCTCCCTCCCAAATCCATGAATGCGAAGAGAAAAGCATGGGGGAAGGAAGGAAAAACTGTTTCTCTTGAAAATGAGAAATAACCTATTATGGAAGACTTGGTGGGGAGTGGGGGAGGAACAGTATAGTCTCCTGTGTTTTTGTTTTCTTTTTTTAAAAATGCATCCTAATGGACAGATTTTCGTTTTCAATTAGACGGAGAAACGAGTAAAACGAGTTTCGGAAATGGAGGCTACTGAAAAGCTCCTAGTGTGAACGAAGATGAAGATGGTCAATTCTGCACGGAAACTATCGATCCGTGTCAAATTTGCTCTGAATCGCTTCGAAGGGAAAACTTTTTCTTAAAAAAAAAAAAGCCTTGGATCTGAGGAGAATGAGAACGGGGTGGGGAGAGAAGGAGCTTTGGAAATAGAAACCGTTTTCATCTTTTAGTGGTGGGAGAGGATATCATTGGGTTTAAAGAAAACAGTTTTGGCTGTACTCCGTTGTTGCCAATGCAAAGATGATGTTGGAGAAAATTATTTTATTCGGAAATCAAGAATCAAAAATTCTCAAATCACTTAACATGTCAGAAGCAGCTCTCCAGCCAGCCACCGGCCTCCTTCGGTCGTCCTGAGCCTTCTCTGTAGCCTTAGCTGCTTCTGCCCTGACCCGAATCCCTGCACTTTCGGAACGTGCTGCCCAGAACTAGGTGGTTCAGTGGCTAGGTTTGGAGTCGGGAAGACCAACACTGGAATCTGACTCAGACACTTAATAACTGTGTGACCCTTGGCAAGCCATTTAACATCTTTTGGCTTTGGTTTCTTCAATTGTAAAACGGAGGAGTTGGGTTCGCTGGCCTCTGAGATTCTCTTGCAGCACTAATTATAGTGTCTGACCTGCAGACAGACTTGCCTGTCTGCTCTTCTCAGTGACTGAGACGCATAAATAAATCCCTCATTGCTGGGTATCCCCAGTTCTCTGTTCTCTTTCGCCCATAGACTGCCGCACAGCAGGGAGAGACTCGCTTTTACAACCAGGCCGACTCTGAGAGTCTGTGTCGGGAGTGGACTGGTCACCTAGGCCCCAGCAGCGGGGCATCTCCCACCCTCCAGATTTCCTCTTGTGGATGATGCCGCTACAGGCAAGACTAATGACCTGCGGCCTCCGAATTCCTCTCAGAAGCGGAAAGGACGAGCAGCCCCAGTGCCCCCATTCTATGCTTGTGTCTTTGGAGGCAAATTTAATCTGGGGACTAGAAGCATCCTGGTATCTGGAATATCTCCAACGCTCTGACTAACAAGTTCCAAGCTTTCAACAATAAGTGGAGGGATTGACTGTCAGGAAAGGAGTGGAGGATGCGGGAGCGGGGGGGGGGAGGGAGGAAACGAGAAGGGGAACGTTGGACCTAATTTAGTACATAGAGAAACGCTATGTAATGGGGTTTGTGGGGCGACACTTGGAGAGCCTGCTTACATTGCTAAGAATTTCTCAGGTTTCCCCATACCCTCGCCCTCCACCTCATTTCCCTAGAGGTGGAAAGACAGTAGTCAAGAAGAGCATGCTAATTCTTCTCCTGACCCCCTCCCCCATCCGGGGATCCTTCAGTGCCCGGTTACCCCTAGGAACAAAAAGCTTTCTTTCCACCCGCAGTCTTCAGAGGGGCTTGTCACATCCTATATCGGTCTGCGGCATTGGCGCGGGGGAGTTCGGTATTCTCCCCTCGCCGCCCCCGCCCCGGGCTCTTGGGACTCCCCTTCCCTCCACCCCCAGCCGGGAGAGGAGCGAAAGAAAGGAAGGGCTCCCTGGCGCATACCGGCCGGCCTCGCAGGTAAGTCAACACTAGAGTACGTGCAAAATCACTGCGAGCAGAAAGCCAGAATCGGATTCCGATCTAGCGATTGCAGAAATGGCCTTGGCCTTGGCCTTGGCAGAAGCTCCTGACCTTATGGTTCAAACCAAGGGGGGAAAGCAACGTTTCAAAAATTTGTGATAATGTTACTCCATCAGTCCCCGCAAGGAACACAACCGAGCTCACCCTGGCTCACCCTAATGAATTAATCATAGCCACACCGGAAAGAGTGAGGACTGACTCGCCCCTCTAGGCTCCGCCATCCTCAGTTGCCTGTCTATAGCTTCTGTAGCCCACTCATCGCGGGACAGACATCTCGCCGGGCTTCTCTAACTCAGGGACTCCCAACCCGCCTCTCATCCCCTACCGCATTTCCAGCGAGACTAGATTAGACTGCCCATTCCGAAACCTGTAATAGACCCCAGAGCACAAGGTCTCTGAAGTGCTCACAATGAGGAAGTGAATGGCATTGAGAATGGACCTAATCCATTGAGTTAATGTATTCCATCCACTCTAATCACTCTGCATATCCCTCATTTCACTGCCCCTCCAAAGATTCTCTGTTATTTTTACTTTAGTTTTTCTTCTATGCTATTAAAAAAATTTCAAAAGATTACTTTTGGCGTGTTCTGTTTCAAAAGGATATTTAAAAGAAGGGGGGGGAAGAGAACAAGAAATTGGGCTGTTTTGGTAGGCTCATTGAATAATGAAAAATATTAAATGCCTACACAATGTGATATATATGTCCCCAGAAGAAAACAGTAGCTTCCATGGGTGATTACTGGTCCTAAATCAGGGGTTTAAGATAATCCGAGGTCTCTGAAATGGCTTTGTAAAGAAATATTTTGACGATTATTTCAATATAATTGGTTTCTTTTGTTAACCGACTTTTATTTTCTGAATTTTCTGAGTAGTTCATAGGTTTCACTAAATTTCCAAAGGCTTCCATAGTATCAAAAAGGTAAAGAACCTTTGCCCCAAATGGGAACGCAGTCCTCCCACCATATATGGATGGAGTTAATATATAAAACATAGCCTCCTATTAGAAGTTATACTGTATATACTTTAACAGGAACATAGAGCCTCAGTGGTCTTGGGAATCACTCGGTCATCTCCCCTATATTCAAGGAATTATCTTCAGACTCCACCTACAAAATGAAGTGTAGAATTGAAGTTAAGATCAAGATTATTAAGATATTTTTTAAAGTAACAAATGCTTGGTTAAATACCTCAAATAACTGAGGTTATTTAAAATGCCTCTCCAATTTTCTATTTTGTGGGTGTAGAATAGTCCTTAGAATGGTGAAAAATCCCCATTTTTCTCAAACAAGACCTCCTCTTGGGCCTTTCACTTTCCCAACAACAGAATGGAAGAAAAGAGTGTATTAGGGAAGATTAATTTCTGTGGGAGACTTGCCTGGGAAAGAACTATAGAAATGGTTTTGGAATAGAGATAGGTGGGGGAAGGGTAGGGTTGGGTTTGAGGCTGAGAGGAAGGATTACTCTGCCTTTTAGGGGCACAGAGATTGGGAGGAGGTGTAGAAACACATATGATATGACGAAGAGTCTTCAACCAGGGTTATTCCAGAGATTGGGGACCAAAATAGAAAATGTCCTAGGAAGGTCACCTACCCACCCCTTCCAAACATCTCAGTGTCAAATCATCTGTACTGATCTGGTTCTTCAGCTCAATCTGTGCCCACCTCAATGGGGGGTGAGGGGAAGTAAGTATCTCTTGCAGCAAGTCCAGAACTACCCTTGTTTGTCTTGGCAAGATTGCAAGTGTTCTGCCGTAGCTGCCAACAGGATTTTTATGTTTGCTCTCCTGCCTGGCATGGCCGCTGAAGCAGCTGGCATTCTGCTCCATTTTTTCCTTGCTGGCCAATCCCCTGTTTGCCTTCCTACCCCAAGAGGTACTCTGAGCCAATGGGATGAGTCTTTGGTCCCCTGGCTCTTGGTAATTCCACTTTTTCAGCCTGGATTGCTTTCCTTTTCCTTGGCCTCCTGGAGACAGCCCCTAGACTCGGAAACTCTCCCCCAACTAATGGAAAAAAGTAGGAATGAAGGGGACCAACAGTACCAGATCTCAAATTATGCTATAAAATAGTCATGATAAAAAAAATTTTGGTAGTGGTTAAAAAATATGAGTTGATTAATAGACAAGCTAAGTAAAACTCAGAAAAAAACAACTGGACATAATTAGTGTTCAATAAACCCAAGGGACATGGACTACTGTCTCTGTTAGACAAAAACCATTGAGAAAAATGGAAATCAATTTGGCAGAAGTTAGGTATAGACCAACTACAAATGGATATATGACCTAAATATAAAAGGCCACATTTTTTTTAAAAAGGGGGGAAGGTACTTTTATACCACTTTGATTAGGAAAATGGTTATCAATAATTAATAGAAATTATTATAGAAGCTAAAATGGAAATTTAAAAAATAATATATTTTCCCAATTGCATGTAAAAACAATTTTTAACCTTCATTTTAAAAAAATCTTGAGTTCCAAATTCTTTTCCTTTTTTCTTCCCCTACCCCCTCTTTAAGATGGTAAGCAATTTGATATAGGCTATACAAGTGCAATAATTCAAAACATATTTCCATATTAGTCATGTTGTAAAAGAAAACACAGACTTTCTCCCCCCAAAAAACCCACAAAACACACACACAAAAAAAAGTAAAAAATAGTACGCTTCAATTTGCATTGAGACTCCATCAGTTCTTTCTCTGGAGGTGGATAGTATTTTTCATCATGAATCCTTTGGGATTGTCTTGAATCATTGTATTGCTGAGAACAGCTAAGTTATTCTCAGCTGATCATCATACAATATTGCTGTTACTGTGTACAATGTTCTCCTGGGTCTCCTTGCTTCATTCACTCTGCATCAGTTCATGCAAGTCTTTACAGATTTTTCTGAAGTCATCCTGCTTGTCGTTTCTTATAGCACAATAATATTCCATCACAATAATATACCACAGCTTGTTTAGCCATTCCCCGATTGATGGACATCCCCTCAATCTCCAGTTTTTTGACACCGCAAAAACAGCTACTATAAATATTTTTGTACAAATAGGTCCTTTTCCTTTTAAAATGGAAAATTTTAATTATGTAAAATTGAAAAGCTTTTGCATGATAAAAATCAGTGCAGCTAGAATTAGAAAAGAAACAATTGGGGCAGCTAGGTGGCACTCTGAAGTCAGGAGGACCTGAGTTCAAATCCCTCCTCAAACACTTGATACTTACAAGCCGTATGACTCTGGGCAAGTCACTTAACCTGGATTCCTTAATAAAAAGAAAAGAAATAGTTAATTGAGAGCATTTTGCAGTGAATATATTTGACATATAATAATTGATACATCTATATAAGAACAAGAGCCATTCCTGAAGGATAAGTGGTCAAAGGGTATGAACAGTTTTCAAAAGATGAAGTGAAAGGTATTAATCACCATGTTAAAAAAAAAGTTCTAAATGAGCAAAAATAAGAAAAATGCAAATTAAAACAACTCTGAGTTATCACCTCATTCTTGTCAGATTGTTCAATATGACAACAACAATAACAAATGTTGGAAAGGCTGTGAGAAGCAGTGAGGTAGCCCAGTCATTCTGGAAATAAACTCTTTGATACTACTCAATGATACCACTACTAGGCATATACTCCCATTAAAATTAAAAAAATCATATAAAGGTGATATACATATATACATACATACATCTATAGTTATATCTATCTATCTATGTCTATATATTTAAATGGCATCCCTTTTTTGTAATAGCAAAGAATTTGAAGGAAAGTGGGTGCCTGCTTGGGGAAAGGTTGAATAAAATGTGGTATATAAAAGTGATGGAAGGTTATTGCACAGGGAAAAACAGTAAATATGAAGAATTTGGAGTAACTTGAAAAGAACTGATGGAGAGTGAAGTAAACTGAACTAAGAAAACAATTTATATGATAAACACAATAATATAAGAGGTGGGGGAACCATTGAATTCAGGCTTCAGAATACTCATTAAAAGGGGTAGCTAGATGGTATAGTGGATAGCATCAGCCCTGGAGTCAGGAGGACCTGAGTTCAAATCCAGCCTCAGACACCTGATACTTGCTAGCTGTGTGATCCTAGGCAAGTTACTTAACCCAGATTGCCTCATCAAAAAAAAAGTGTTCATTAATGCAATAACCAATCATAACTTCAGAGGACTTGAGCTTACATTAGTTCTCTCAACAAAAGGGTGATGGGGGGCAGCTAGACTGCGCAGTGGATAGAGCTCTGGCCTGGGAGTCAGGAGGACCTGGGTTCAAGTCCAGCCTCAGACACTTGCCACTTACTAGTTGTGTGACCCTGAGCAAGTCACTTAACCCCAACTGCCTAAGCAAAAACAAACAAACAAACAAAACCAAAGGGATGATGGACACCAGGTGCAGAATAAGGCATATATTTTCAGATATGATTTACTTTATGTGATTATCCTTATTCATTACAAAGAAGGGTTCTATGAGGAGGGGGAGAGTCATTTGGGAGAGACTAATTTTTGAAAGCATTTTTTAAAAGAAAAGAAACTCTTCCCAAGAATGAGAAAATGAGGGAGGGAAGTGTAAGGAAGAGAGAGGGATCCTATGTATATCTCTTTCACTTCAAAAAGGGGCAGTCCAAGCAAGTGCTGGCCCAGGGATTGAAAGAAATCAGGCAGAAAACCAAGAAAAGGTATTAAACTGAAGCATCAAATGAGCCTGAGATTTTATAAACCTTAGTTTTTCCATTCAATAATGCAGATCTATAACTAGGATTTTGTGTGTTGTGGCAAGTGCATACCAGGATCATAAGCCAAACCAGGATCAAGTATGAGTGACACTGTATAGGACATTGCCTTGTGGGTGAAGAGAGAGGCCTTAAGGCACTAAAGTGACAGTGCTCCTAAGGAGGTCACCAAAAGGATCAAGGAAGAATGGGGAAGATAATCAGAGTGGTGCAGTTCTCTCTGCTGTCAGCTGTCTCTGACTTTGTCACCCTGGGTGAGAGTCCCAGTGGCCTCACTTTAGTTATGGCTCTGTCATAACTTTTTCTTAGGGTTTTTAGAAGAAATCAAAGTGGGGGGCAGGGATGAACATTGGTTGCAGGAAGTCACTTGGTATATTGGGAGAGTGATTGGAGAAGAGTGTACTTAGCAGAGAGTCACTGTAAAATGTTGGCTGTCAAATGGTATTGTAGGTCCAGAAAGGCATCTATCTAGGAATCCACATCCTAATCTCCGACCACTGCTTCCAAGGCTATACTCCCTTTCAACCACCTTTCTAGCAATTTCCTGGTTTCCTTTCTGTGGGTGTACTAAGTACACACTCTCTGTGCTGGGGAAATGCTGAGTAACCATCAAATGACACATTGCCTTATTGGCTTTCTTGAGACACCAGTTAATAGCATAGAGTCATGACTGAAGAATGCAAAATAACTGAACATTATGCTTGGCAAATTGCAGCATTGCCCTACCCAACAATTTTCAAACCTTCTTTATTGCTTTAACTGATTTTCCCCCTGAAAATGGCTATGATTAAAATAGAGCCATTGTGCCAGCCAGTAAGGCAAGCCTGTTGTGAAGAAAGCTTGCTGTGAACAATTACATATGCTTCCTTTAAATCATCTAGCATTTCAAAAGCAGATGAAAATATGTGAGACATTGACAAATGAAATGTTGCTTAGGTTAGATTTCAGGAAGACCTTCTTGCCAGGATAATTGACCCTATTCCTCCCCATGTCCACCCCATTCCTGTTACAAGTGCTTTGATGAGTCTCTGATTTCTTCCGCCTGAAAAGAACTATAACTAGGGCAGAGTGATCAGGGTCTTGTCCCAGGACACCAGATTTAGACAGACAGAGAGAAATTTAAAAAGCACTGATGGTAGTGTAGAAAAAGAGCTTAGCAGTTAGCTAGTTGTCAAAAGAGGAAGCTATCAAATAACTAATGGGATGAGCTCCTCTCCCATATTCCTCTGCTTACACTCCCTCCTGCACCCTTCTGGGCTATCTGCTCCTCTTACAGCTGGTGCTTTGGCTGCCCCCACATCAACTGAGGGCGTTTTTCCTATAGTTTGTCCCAGATGTGGCTTGTGGTAGTTGACCCAGGCACAGAAATTTATAACTTTGTCTCTGGATATGGTTACTCCTTCCAACAATGAAGATTGCAGTTTAATTCAACACACATTTTTAAATGAACACTCCCTGCATGCATCTAGGGCAGGGAGTGTTAATTGTAAATGTAAAATGTAAATGTAAAAAAAAAAATAGATAAGACGTAGTCCCTGTCCTCATGGAATTTACAGTCTAGTCACAGAAAAGATAGCATATATGTAATAATAAAAATATTATTTTTTTTAAAAGTTGCCCAGACTCTGAAATACTAAGAGGAAACAGGTCTCCTTAAAGCTTAAACAATATAGCCTTAAGGCAGAAAACAGAAAGTGCAGAGAATATGGTAAATTTGTGGTTCTTACCTACAGCAAGTAGGACAGTTTTAAAATAGTTTCAAGAAAGGTTCAGATAAATTAAAGGACAAACAGATTTCCATAATAAGTTATTATAGAGGGTAATATGGTATTATAGAAAAAAAAAACAAATTTGGGATCTGAAGATCTGAGTTAAAAAAAAAGTTCTGAGTTAAGGCCAGATTCTGCTACTAACTAGCTGTGAGACCTTGAGTAAGTCACTTAGCAATTTCTCTTCCATTCAGACTCTCTGTTGGACCCTCTCAATGACTGGCAAGCATCTCTGATAACAATCGGTATTATCAGAGTAATCTCTTTTTTCAAATTGATTTTATTGTTGTCTTTTGTTTTTACTTGACCCAGATTTCCCCCTCTACTCCTTCCTCTCCTCTCCTAGAGAGCCACCTCTTCTAACAATCTTTTTTTAAAGAAAAAAGAGAAAATACATCAAAACCTATCAACATATTGACAAAAATTTGATATTACATGTAGCATTCTCCACCAGCACTTCCATAAAGAAGTAGAGAGAGGGATCTCCCCATCTTTCTTATTCTTTGGGGCAAAGCTTATTCTTCATCATTTGCCAACATTCGTTATTATTTTTTTGTGGTTTCTGTTCTTTAAATTTACATTACTGTAGTCATGGTGTATATTGTTTTTCTAACTTTGTTATTTTCATATATCACAATTTTTTTCAGCCATTCCTCAATTTATGGGCATGGTGCTATTCTTCTAATGCTATCGGCCTGAGTCCTCATTCTAGTGGGTTCTCACCAATATCAATTCTCAGTGCCACTTAATATGTTTTAAGTGTCATCCATCGAATAATACTCCCCTACCAATTTAATTAGTTGACGTCAACTAGCTTGTGCAAAGAGATATTTCCTGAGAAAATACAGCAAAAACAGAAGGTTAAAGACCCTAATGCCAAGGCTACCCTCCTCTCCACCACCTTCTTCCCCCAGTAAAGTGAGCTCAAACTTGATGTGGCTGCTACAAAGCATTTCCCCCATCACGTTGACTTTTGAACGTGTCACTCTTTTGTTGATCTGCTTCAGTTTCTGCTGGACTAACTGCAGTTGGGGGTTGATCCTTAGGTTTATGCTGATGCCTCACCTGTTTCAGCTGCTAAAAAACTCTGGTACGGATTTTCAAGATAGCAGAAGGCTCTGTGCCAATGCAAAGACGCTTGCAAGAGACAACTCCATCTCAGATACATAAGATTACCTAGGAAGCTGTGCCCTCACTGGCTTCATGACGGCTCAGATCCAGAGAGGGTCTGAACCCCCTCTTCCAGCCTGAAGCCCACTGCAGTTCATTCTCTTCACTCAAAAGCAGCCAAGGGAAAAAAGAGGAATTCCCTCCATGGGAATCTTTTATATGCACACTCAATTCTGGCTCAGCAACTAACTGAACAGTCTTTTCCTAATCAAACAGCAAACAGATGGGAAATAGTCACAGAATACTGCACATGCTCTGAGTCTGGGAGCAAGGCCTTTCCATTATGCATGCTTGAAAGCAGTCTTACCCAGCATCCACATGGGGGATTACAGCAGGCAAAACAAGATAGAGGCTCAAAGGATGGAAGTCTCATTGGACAGATACCCCTCCCCTCATTACATGTGCATTGGAGAGATATCTTTTTGGGGAAAAAAAAGCCTTTAATGAAGCATATTGCCATATTTTAACTGTCAATAGAAAATAAGCACAGATCTTGGTATTTTCTTCACCTTTTGGTTAGTTGTGTAATTGAGAACATGGTTTCTGTTGTAGAACATCCCTTGCAAAGGCTATTTATTCAGTTCTTATA